AACTAAAAATTTTTTTAAAAAAGGAAGACACTTGGGTTCTTGCTGAGATAAAGGAGACATTCTAATGAAACAAACAAAAGTGTGTATCCTTAGCAAGTAATTAACTTCCCTAAGCCTCCATTTCCTCATCTATAAAATGGGTATACTGTTAGTTTTTAGCTCAGAAGCCTCTTCTGGAGATTTAAAAAGGCAATTTAGCACATGCCAACTGCATTATAAGGGCTCTTTTATTTTACTAAACAACAACAACAACAACAAAAAAGATGGAAATTCCTGTTAAAGAAATAAGAATGACAAGAGGCTGGTGTGGAGATCCACCTTGGTCATTTTGCCCCACCAACCCTAGCAGACAAAGATGTTAAGGCAGAGGGCAAGCGTACTGTCCCAGCCATTCACGCCTGGCCTGTTTCTCAACTCATATCAGACATGTTAACAGTTTGTGAGAGGCCAGGTACACTCGGGTTGGCCACCAACCACCTTTATCTGGCTTAGCATATAAACACCTTCCTCCTGCCTTGGGGTACAGGGATCCAACTACCAAGAAACCCTTCTGTCCATAAGTCCCCGATAAACTGCAACCCTGGATCTGTGTGGCTCGCTCTTCAGCATCCTGGCCCTCCCGCCTAGAGCAGCCAGTTCCCACACACCAGGACTGGGTTTGTCCAAAAAGCTGCTGTCTGTTGAAGCCGAGTGATGGATACGTGAAGATCTATTTTCACATTTGAAACTTTTCAAAAGTTTAAACAAAACTTTTTAAAGCTAGCATACATCCGAGACAAAGGAAAGATGTAAACAAACTTTTTAGCAGACCTAACCTTAAAGAGCAGCCAATGAGGGTCTTCAAATAGGAAGGAAATGGGAAAAGAAGGAACCTTGAGCTCAGAAGGGGAGGAGGAACAGAAATAGGAGCGAGCACAAAGGTGTCTGGGTCCTCCCTAGAGTCTTGTGAATGGTATGTGAGGAGGAGACAAATTAGTTAGTAAGTGACAGACACAGGAGGGGTGATTCCCACACCTCACCGAAGTCCACACTACACCAAGCAGTCGGAACCGTGCGTGTTCCAACCAAGCAACCACTGAGAAAACCACCAAACACATCAAAATCACTGTAACTGAATCAATACGGTATTCTAAGAACATTCCTATAACCCACAGGAAGAAAAGAAACAAGAATGAGACCCAGAAGAAGCAAACAGAAAATTTTAAAAGTAGGTTTTAGAGCTAGCATATCAATAAACCAATCATCCATACACATTAATTAAAGGGCAGAAAATGATCAGATGCCATGGTACATGCCTGAATTCCCAAGGATTCAAGAGGCTGAGGCAGGAAGATCTCCATGTCTGGGGCCAGCCTCAGCAACTTAGTGAGACCCTTTCTCAAAAAGTTCTGGGGATGGAGCTCAGCAGTAGAGCACCCGTGGGTTTAATCCCCAGTACCAATAGGGAAAAAAAGACTTCGGACCTCCCCCCCCCAAAAAATAGAGATAAAAAGGGACAGTCCATAATGATAAAAGGAACAACATAGTTTTCTATCAAGCTACCAGAAAGACACCGATCCTAAATGTGTATGTACCAAACACCAACAACTTAAAATACACGAAGTCAAACTGGTGCAGCCCAAAGAGGAGACACAGCCACAATCTCATCTGAGGACTTTTCAACACCCTTCCAGCAACTACCAGACAGAAAATCAGCAGGAAGTCCCAAGAACTCCACACCATCAAGCAACATATAAATACACCTAAAATGAGGAACATGTAGAAACTTTAAAAACATCATTTACATTCACTCCCATGGATTTAAATGGAAAACAAAATTATAAAATCTGCAAAAAGAATACAGAAGAAAACCTTCTGACCTACAGCCAAGCAGAGTTCCTAGACTTGACATCAAATGCAGAATGCATGAAAGGATGAACTGATAAACTGGCCCTCTTCCAAAATCAAAACTTCTCCTCTGTAAAAGGCATCCTTAAGAGGAGGAGAAGACGAGCTACAGAAGGGAAATAGCTGCATATGAACTAAGAATATCTATAGCTATAACTCTGAACTCAACAGTTTAGAAACAAACTTTTAGTATTGCAATTAGAAAACAGGCAAAACAGCATTTCACCAAAGAGGCCATGCAGAGAGCAAATAAGCACACCCAGTGCCAGGGCACAACAGCACAGCCACTAGGCAAGGCAGCCGCGAGAGTGGCTAATACACAGGGACAACACCAAATGCCAGCGAAGACGACAGAAAACCTGCTCATAACCTCACACACTGCTTGTAAAATAAAACAGGCAAAGGGTTTAGCAGCTCCTGTGAAACTCAAAGGACAACTCCAAGCACACACTTGGCTATTTCCCCAGGGAAATAAAAAGCACGCTCACACCAACACCTGCACACAAATAAAATAAAATAAAAGGTACTGTGCCATGACAACTAAAAAAAAACTAAAAAACTAAAAATATATATATTTTTAAAAAAATCCAAACCAGAAACAACTGGGCGTCTTTCAAAGGTGGCTGTTGAGCCAACTGTGGTCCATCTGCGTCCTGGAACATCCTCAGTCATAGAGGGAACAGAATCAGGAGGGAATCCTGCTGGGTGAAAAAAGCTAATCCCAAAGGTCACCGCTGCTCTGATTCTGTCTGCATAACACTCTTGAGATGGCAAGGTGGGTCTGCATGAGAGGCAACCACTGTGACTTCCATGCTACCAGGTTTGACAGAAAAAATATGATGATCTCAATGCAAAAAAGGCATTTGATAAAAATGCCCATTCATGATTAAAATGTTTAAATGACAAACCAGAAACAGAAAAGTACCTCCTTAACCTGTCAAAATATTTACAAAAATCTACAATAAACATAACTAATGAAGAAACATTAGAAGAAATTCTTTTAAAAACAACAAAGATACCAGTATCCACCTTTTATTCAACCCTAGCTAGAGGTCTGAGGCTCAAACAAACGATGAAGAAAAATTAATCACAAAAGAGAAAAGGATAAGAATTATACATGATATGACTGAAGAATAAACTAAAGTTAATCTACGAATAAACCATTCGAAATTATAAATACGATTAGCACCGGGACATTGAGAGCAATGTATAAAAATCAATTACACATAAAGACAAATATGTCTGATCCCACTTATGTGAGTGTCTAATGAAGCCAAACTCATAGAAACAGGACAGGGTGGTGTTCCCAGGAGCGGAGGGAGGGAAAGAGGGCGTAGCTGCTTAATGAGTATTGGGCTAGAGATCTGTAAGATGAAACAGCTCTGGAAATCTGTTTTACAACATGAATGTATTTAACACAATCAAATCGTACCTTTTAAAATGTTTGTTCTCTACTACAATAAAATAATCAATCACACTCATATAAACCAGCAAGTTTTAAAATATAATTTGAAATAGTCTAGCATATTACAAATTACCTAGCTCTACATCTAATGAGAGATGTCTGAAATCTATACTGAGAAATGTTTTTAGATCTTATTGAAAAATACCATTATAAAGACCTAGATAAATGAAGTTATACACCATTCCTAGATTCAAGAATCAATATAGCAACTTATGGAAAATAATCCATAAATTCAACACAATGTAAATAAATAGCCCAACAGACCTTGGCACATATATCTAAAATTATGTGGGAAAAACAAACACATCTCAAGAAAAAAATCAGGTAGGAGGATACCTTATATGAGGTAGTGAGTCTCAGCTACAAGAAGTTAGACTGAAACTGCACAAGATAAACGACCCACTGAAGAGCAGCAAGAGCCCAGAAACAGACTTATACAGACAAATAACACATAACAGAGGTGACCATTTGTATCTGCTGAGGTGCATCCAGAACCCACAACACTGACCCCAGTGTGAAAAAGAGTTAGAGAAACACTTACATGTGAGGGGACGCCGATAATATAATTATCAGATAATATTCAAGAAGGTATCAATAAAGAAGAATCAGTAATAGATAAGAACATGGTCAATAATTTAAAAAATCTGAGACTTGAGGCAGGCAATGGTGTTCTGCTCAGGATTCACAAGTCCTGACAAGCTCAACCCATCCCATGACCACGTGATGGCTTGAAAAGCCTCTGGCCCAGGCGAGGACACAAGTGATCCAGGCCACAGGTCCTCAGCTTCCTCCCCTGTGCCATGAAGGAGCAGAGTCAAGCTCTAGTTCTTACGGGTCTTACCAAGTGTCAGGAGTGTCACACAAAATCCAGCGGTGTGAGGCTGGTGAAGATATGCTTTCCCCACTATCAGCACTGTCACGGCGTCTGGGCCTAAATGGGCTTTTGACGGGGAACAGGAGAGGACAGTCCTTACTAGTCAGTGTCAGGAATGTCTGCGAACGTGCCCCTCACATCAGTACCATGAGCAGGCTGGCAGAAGAAAGGTCACTAGAGAAACTGCCTTTACAGTGGCTTTTGTCTGAACAACTTACTTTTAGGCCAAACTGAGGACACTGCCTATAGGGGAAGGGAGAAGTATTTTGGAAGCATGTGTGTTAAGTGTCTACTGAAATGCACTTACAAGAAACACCTTCTCTTAGTTCAATCAATACTAACAAAAGAGTGTACATGCTGGTCTATTCCAGGCTCAGAACATCATTAAAGACATAAGATGCTTTAAAAAAAGAAGAGCTTAGCCAATCAATGCACAAAATAATCTGCTGATTTCCAGCTCCCACCAGTGGGAAAAGATGCCACGCTCACCTGCACCTAGAGGGGGGAGGGGGAGGAGAGGCCTGGTGGAAAGGACAGGACTAGTGCAACACCTACTAGGTGCCCAACTGTGTCAGAGCCTTTGAGGCACTGTGTCACTCAAGCTCCCAAACCACCCAGTAAGGAAGATAAAATATTCATTCACTTTACCAACTAGGACACTCACAGCAGGTTCAGAGAGCGGAAACAGCATGTCCAACTGGCCTTCCCACTCCTGCAGGGAAGGCCTGGATTCACAGATGGTTGCGAAGCCTTATCTTTGTCCTTCACCAGGCTGCTCAGATAAATCCACCTAAGGCACCATGAGATGCCATTTTTAGTTTGCACACAAATAATGGGAAACCTGTGCCTTTGTCAGTGGACAGATATATTTCAAGAGACAGCTCTCACAAAGCACAGTCAGGGGCGAGAAGCAGGACTCCCCAACACAACAGGGCTGGCCGAGTTTTTCAGAGCTCTATTTGGAAGTTATTGATTAGGCTTCACCCTCAGGGCAGTGACAGCTGGACTGGAGGCTCCAGGAGGGCACAGGATTAGGATAAAGTGGGAGGCGGTTGAGAAACATTGGAAAAGCCCATTTCTAAACCCCAGCGAGAGAGGATTAGGTCCAAGACTAATTCACCATCACTTGCCACATCCCATCTTGTGTGGTCACTTCTGAGCCCCTTGCCACCCTCAGAGAGCTGAGGTGGGGCAGGATCCACAGGGCACCAGTACCAAGAGACCTCTGATCTGATCCATCCTCCTTCCTGTGACCAAGTAGCATCACCAAGGACTTCTCTGGTTCCAACTTCCCCTTCCTTCGGAAACAAGTGATCCTATTTCTCCACCTCACAAAAAGGCAATTATTTCAGTAAGGACAGGGACACAGTCAGTCTGTCACCCCATGTCACTGTATTTGATGAATGAATAAAACCAAATGTGCTTCACCATGCTTATTTACAAAAAAAAAAAAAAGTAGAGGCCAGAGTCACATGCCTGCCCCAGCTGGTTCCTTTAACAATCAGATGAGATGACAAGTGGGACCAACTATAACAATGGATGTCACTATTGCATAACTTAACAAAAGTATCACTGCCTCTCACCTAGCAAGGTGAAGTGAGTAGCCTAGGTTAGTCACAACTACACACCACTGAATGAAGGCACACCCAGTGTGGCATTTGGTCCTCAGGTCCTTTGAAGATTTCAAATCCCGTTATGAGTGACTTTAATCAAATCATCTCATCATTCGTTATGTTATTTCTTCATCTGCAAAATGAGAATGTGCTCCAATCTCTTTGGATTCAACACCTCCAAACTGCTCTTTCCTCTCATCCCTGTCCTGTGACTCCAAAAGTACAATACATTTTGGGCTTCTTGGCTCTCTGGCTCCCTGTTGGGTTGGCCTTACAGGAGACACCAGCAGAGGTTTGCAAGGAGGAAAACAGGGAATTTATGGCATTTCTACCCCGACCAAGGCATCAACAGCTCTCAAGGTGCCCTCTCCACTCAACTACTTGGTAACCAATCATTGCCTTCACCTCTTCAGGCTTAAAAGAGAGGCGAGGTCCTCCTGCGACCAGGTTTGGTGTACCGAGCCTTCACTCCGGGTTCCCCTGCCCACAGTCGTCCCTTTATTGCTCTCAAATCAAGCTAATTTCTCCCAGGATCCAGGATTACACAGGAGAATTCACCATCTTGCAAGGTCACAGGTCAGAAACCACCCTGCTGCTCGGTACCAAGTGACCACTACACAATGCAGAAACGGTGGCTCCCGACCTGCAGAGCTTAAGGAACTGGCCCCAGGACGCGCAGACGTGGAGGGGCCTTGGGCTTCCAGACTCGGAAACCGCTTTCCCTTCCTACTATGACCTCGGTCGCTATTTCTCCTCCGACACCGTACTGCGTCTCCGTGGTTGATCCTACAGGGAAATCCACCTCTTAGGAACTAGCTTTATTTCGACTGTCGAGCCCGGGGCAACCGCGTGGCAGAGACTCGAGTTCGGGTCGTCTTAAGAGCCCAAGCAAAGCGTGCAGGAGGCGCTGCCCCCAGCCAGACTCCCGAGCCCCCGTCCGATCCCGTAAACCCGGGCTGACCCCACTCCTCATCGGGTGCTGCCGAGGACTCGGTGGGATCGCGCTGGCCAAGCACAGGACACGCTCTAAGCCCGAGCCACACGCGCCTCGGTGGCCGGCAGCGGTTTCGCGGCCTTGGCGGGTTTTACTGCCACCCCAGGACCGAGGAGGCGGGACGCGGCCTCGGGCCTGGGCCTGGGGCGGGAGGGGAGCAGCCCACCTGCTCCTCCAGCCGCTCGATCTCCAGCTGGTTCTTCTCCTCCTCCTCGTCGTACTCCCACTCGTAGTCCCCGGCGGAGCTGTCCGCCGAGGAAGCCATGGCGTACTCCTCATCCCCATCGCTCTCGCTCACACCTTCCTCCTGCTGCTCCCACCCTGGCCCCATGGTCTTGTACGTCGCAGCGGCTACAGCCCGAGAGAGCACTTTCCGCCTCGTCCTAGCTGCCTTAACTTCATCTTCCTCTCCCTCAGCCTTGGGCCCAGCCGGGGGCTCAGCCTCCGGCTCCGAAGCCGAAGCTGCGGCCGCTGTCGCCATCTTGCGTTTCCAGTGACTCTCGGGTCTTCTCTCGGGCGCCGAAGACCCGCGGAAATAGAAGCTGCCTAAGGCGTCCGCCTGACTAAAACCCCGCTTTCTTGCCACCGCATGAGAAACTGAGAACCTTGGATGACAGGAAAATTACTAAATACAGGAAATTCATATTACTTTTATGTATCGCTAAAGGTCCCTGTCAGGAAACAATCGACTAACGCAGCCATGTGTGCCGTCACAACCCCAGACAGAAGTTGGGTCTTTGAACAGGAAGTGGAGGTCATAGAGGAAGTTACAGGGGGAGCGTGATGTATGTCGTTAAGGGTATTACACCATCTTGAGAAGGTCAAAATGATTCTTGGAACAAATGCTTTACTTAATGCCTAGTGAGCCCTGGAGTGTGATTCAGTCCCAGCCTCAAATGCAGAGAAAAAGTCCAAGTCCTTAGGGAAGGATCGGCTGCCCTATTCATGAGAAAAATCCGTTTTCCAAAGAGATTCCTCTCCTTTATGTAACGCCTGGTACCTAGTAGGCGTTAAATATGTATGTGAATTTTCTGGTTTTATAAGACCATATTCTGCAAGACAATACTAATAAATTACATTAATAAGCATTGCTTTAGAAAATGTTAATTGCCGTGCACTGTCGTATAAATCGTGACTGCTTGCTGTTATTTTATAGGGATATTAAATACATATACCTTTTCTTTTAATCAACGCACGGTGTTCGTTTTCTACTTAATTAAACTTCCCATTTTTTTAAGTAGGAAAGTACTGGTATTTATTTATTGCCTTTGTTCCTCATTATCAAACTTAATGGAGAAAGAAGAGGCTTGACACACAGTAGGTACTCGTATTTGCGATGATGGAAGAAAACACTGTCCTTGAATTGGTACAAAAGAGAAGATCGAGGCTTAGCGAACCGACGTCATTCACCTAGGGTCACATAACTAGGAAGGAGCTGAACCCGGATTCTAACCTAGGACTATACAAGTTCAAATCCCAAGCGAACCTAACACTTTGAACGACCTTGGACAAGTTACTAAACAGCTCTGAACTTCAGCTTCCTTCACTGCAAAATAGGGTTAAGAAAGGCGGACTGGGTGATCCTCTGCGCCGCGTTCCGGCAGTGGGTTTTTTGAACGTGGACGTAGGTCCGGTGCTGCAGCAGCCTGAGAATTCCCATGCACAATCCAGTGCCCACAACCAGCCTCCAGCGACTGCACACCTTCGCGCTGCAACCTGTCCGCGCCCTCCCAGAGGCGTGGCCAAGGCGGGGCCAAAACGCAGAGCGGGAGGGCGCAGGCGCAAAGTCGGTGACGTCAGAGCGACTCGCGGGCGAGCCCTCTGGTCGGAGTAGTTTGGGGCCGGCGCAGGTGCAAGCCTGCAAGATGGCGGCTGCTGGAGCAGGCCGTCTGAGGCGAGCGGCATCGGCCCTGCTGCTCCGGAGCCCGCGCCTGCCGGCCCGGGAGCTGTCAGCTCCGGCTCGGCTCTATCACAAGAAGGTATGGGTGGGCGGAGGCTGCGCGGACCACTGAAGGGACCCGGGCGCCCGATGGGTCACTGGGCCGGGAAGGGCGGCCCGCTCTGGTGCCGCTGCCTGGACGCCCTGCCCCGGCCGCGCAGTGACACTGTCCGCGGCTCCCGGGCGAATAACAGCTGCCGCTGCCCCGGCTCCGTGACCCGGGCGAGCGACGGCCTCTGGCTGCACCCGCTTCCAAAGAGGGGAGGGAGAGGTCCTGGCCGCCGAGGAGGCGCCGCCGGCCCGACGCGGGGACCGTCCGCGGTGATGCTGCGTAGGGGGCCGTGGCCTCCGAGGGCGTCGGCCGGCGGCCCAGGAGCACGGCGCTTCCCGCCCTTTGTTTGGGTTAATTTTGGCTTTTCAGTGCGGGGAGGAGGGCTGGGTGCCCCATTTGCAGCCCCCTGCCTTCCGGGGCGTCAAGTCCCCGTAACCAGACCCCCCTCGGAGAAGTGCTGCGGAGTCCACGAGGCGCTAGATACCCCGGGAAGAACGCCTCGAGGGTCCTGGGGACCTGCAGTCCAGATCCTTGGTCCAGGGGACAGTGGGGGCGACTAGAAGATGGGGTACTTATTGCCATCTGGCAAGCAACCCCTCAAGGTCATCTGAGGATCGGCTGTGCCCGTTTGGAAGGCTCATTTGTGCTGGACCTTTGCTTCGGCACTTTTGCAAGGACCTCGCTCCTCCCCACCCGGGGGGCGTGTCGCGTTCACATCGCAGGTCGCCCGCTCTGGGCACCAGGGTGCGCTGCGGCCTGCAGGTTCTCCGCCCTGACCTGCCCAGATGGCGCAGTTTTAAATCTACACCAACGGGTTCATTCCTTGATGTTCCAAGCAAATCTTTCATTCCCACAGTTATTTCTAGAATTTTTAAATAAGCATTATCCTTTAAGGATGGGTTTTATTTGAGCACTATTTGAGCCCCAATCTGGTGATACAGATGTGCAAAAGTCAAGTGATTATTTGTGGTTGAAAACCCTATGGAACTAAGACATGACTTGATTGATTGATTGATTTTGGCAGTATCTCCTACAGTATCTCTAATCTCTAAAGTTGGAGAGGACATACAAAAAGAGTTTGGGTCACAAATGGCATTGACATGAGTGTTGGCCTTCTTCTTCTTTCAGGTACAGGTTGCTGACATCAAGGTAGACCAGTAGAAGAGCGCCATCATGACTCCTCTCAACCCTGTCATTTCAGGTTGTGGATCATTATGAAAATCCTAGAAATGTGGGGTCCCTTGACAAGACATCAAAAAATGTTGGAACTGGATTGGTGGGTGCGCCAGCGTGTGGTGATGTTATGAAATTACAGGTACCAGCTGATTGGTCTCTGATGGCAATACTAGGAATCCCTTGGCTTACACAGTGTTTCATAGCTGATAAAGCATTTGTACATACAGTGTTTCATTTCATCTCCTTCCTTCCATTGAGATGGGAGGAGTTGGTGTTACAAATGATTAGAACAGGGACTTAATCTAGTTCTGCTAGTCAGGTAATGCAGACCTTTTCTGAAGTAGGAAACTAATCTCACTTTTCTAATCACTGTGTTAATTTAAATTCCACCTTCAGCTGGGTGAAGTATTGTGTGGATTTTGCAGTCCCCAGTGAGATAATAAGTGCAGTAAAGCAAACATCTCCCCATATTGAAAGTAACATGAAGGTAGTGGATTGCAGTTTGGGTACACCATAGCTTTATCCAGTCTCCTTCTTTATAGTGGGTAGACTTGCCAGAGGTCTTCACACCTGTCTTGGAAAACAGAAAAATACTTAGGAGAGAATCTTTAAGTACAATTTCGTGCCCAAAGAAAAAAATATTAACCAGAGACCTTGGTTGCAGACTCTCCCACGTTTAAGGAAACAGAGTGCCCAGCACCTGTGAGCAGGTATCCTCACATAGGACTTCATAGCTTTAAAAAAAGAAAAAAGAAAGAAAAACGGGCTGGGGTTGCAGGATTGCAAAGAAAACTAGGAGAGAGGGGCTTAGTTTTCCAGGTGACAGGTACCTCGGGGCCTGACAGTAGAATGCACTGTGACACATTGTACACAAAAGGAGCACAGCTTCTCCTTCCTCTGGCTATGCCTGGTGCAGAGTCACACCATAGTGTGGTCATGCCTGTCTGTAGAGGAGTAATGTCTGCCTCATTCCACCATCCTTATCTCTGAGCTCTTTGTAACAAGCAAAGTCACTGATTAATTCCAGCCTAGACAGCAAGCCCAGCTTGTAAGGAAGGTCCCCGTGAACCTTATGAGTACCAGCTCCTGGGTTTCTAGAAGGTGGCCGCCAGATTCACTACGTAATTCTTGTCTCTTTTCTAGATTCAAGTGGATGAAAAGGGGAAGATCGTGGACGCCAGGTTTAAAACATTTGGCTGCGGTTCTGCAATCGCCTCCAGCTCGTTAGCCACTGAGTGGGTGAAAGGAAAGACGGTAAAGCTGTTTGCTGACCTATTAGATCAAATCATGTTCTCTGCACCCTTGGCTCTCAGAGGTTCAGTGGGTCAAAAAAAGAAGTAAATTGTTTTATTTCTTCAAAATATCCAAAAATTTTTATTTTAGTTTCTCCCTGTCCCGATGTTGCTTATATTCCTCACATTAGTGGACTATTTTGTGAAGTAGTGTTTGGGAGTATTTTGTAGTTGATGATCATTTTTATTTGGGGGTTTGATGGTGTTTTGTTATTTTGTAGGAAAAAAAAAAAGTTCCTCACTGTCCATCTGACAAAATAGAATTGCAAAGAAATCTTTGACTCTATCAAAGGTCGCTGATGTTCTCATAGTTTCTTAGGAGTCTAAGGTCAAGGGGGTGTTGTGAAGTAGTTATTTTCTTGTTTATTTCCTCCCATCCTGTTTTAGGAAGGACTCTGAGAGTCCTTACAAATATTGGTGAGCTAAACTAGTATGTGTTAAAAGGGGTTTTAAAGAATCAAGAACACAGCAAGGGTTCAGGCCCAGTGACAAATCGGTGGCTGATCTGCAGGCCCTCTAAAGACAAGAAAGGGCCAGACATCTTTTGCATCCTTTTCTCTGTGAAGGGCTAGACTTTCTAAGTCCAGTTGCCATTAAAGCTGCTGTGTCAAAACCAACCAGCAGTGTGCACCAGGGGCCTGGTTCCGGGAGCTGAGTCATGGAGGAGACATTGGACGCGCTGGCCAGCTCCCCAGCAGAGCAGGGCCTAGGCCGCCTGCTCCTGTGCTTCAGGGCCTTCTGGCTGGCAGGCTCCTGTAGGCCAGGAGGGCACAGGCCAGGTCCATTCTAGTGGGAGATGACTCTAAAGAGGTTGGTCAGGAACTGTCTTCAGGGAAAGGGGAAATGAGACAAGGCAAATGTGATCTGCGTCCCTGGCCTTGAGGGGCTTCCTTTAACTTTGAGATCTTCTCATCTGCGTTTCTAGGACTAGCCAGAGACACTGGCTGCTGGGGACGTCTGGCTTCTCTTTCTGCAGTGGACCTCTCTGTTCTTCTTTTGGTGCAGGTACTGGCGGTACAGGGGTACCAGCGATTGAACTCAGGGGCACTCGACCACTGAGCCCCATCCCCAGCCCTATTTTGTATCCTATTTAGAGTCAGGGTCTCACTGAGTTGCTTAGTGCCTCGCTGTTGCTGAGGCTGGCTTTGAACTCACCATCCTCCTGTCTCAGCCTCCCAGCAGCAGGGATGACAGACGTGCGCTACCACACCCGCCTGGTCTGTTCCTCTTGAGCAGGACCTGTCTGCCTCCAGTCTCCCCCAGGGCTCCCGCCCAGACCACAGGCACCTTCTTCACCTGTCTGGAGGAGATTCTCTATTTCAGGCAGAGCATGAGTCTAACCTGAGCTCTCACCCAAGGACCTGCATAAGCAGCATAGAAATGACCTCCTTTTAAAAAAGATGCCTCTGTAGACCTTGAGCAGATCCCTCGGAGATGTCTCATGGGGTCTGCTGGCTGTGGGGTCTTGGTGCTGTGCTCACCAGCCAGCAGCACAGGTGTGTGTACGTGGACTGGAGAGGCCCCACTGCAGCTCTGGCACACATATGGAGTCTGAGGAGGCCGCAGCCCTGTTCTGAGTTGTTAAGCAGAAACTGCCCCCACCAACCTGTCTTGAGGGCCTTGGAGACCTTCCTTTTTTATTGTCTACCCTCAAAACAGTCACTGAAACTGCTTGTCTTTCCCCCGCCTCAGGTGGAAGAGGCCCTGACCATCAAAAACACGGATATCGCCAAGGAGCTCTGCCTTCCCCCTGTGAAGCTGCACTGCTCCAGTGAGTCTGCTATCCCCTGCACAGCAGGGACGTGTGGCACTCATTTCCACTCGCGTTTGTGACAGAGTCCTTGTAGGAGTCCCTCTGTACAGCCGTCAGACAGTCAGAGCTCAGTCAGTCTGTACAGTTCAGAGGGTCGAGCCAGGTCCCTCAGCCAGGCCCTGAGTCCCGCAGGAGGTGCTGTGCGCTGGGAGCCGTGCCAAGCACCCGCTGGGCATCGTATCTAGCCCACCCCTCAGGTGGAGCCACCCATGTCACAAAGCTAGTAAGTGGGAGAACCACGATTTCAGCCCAGTCCTTGATCACTGTGCTGTCCCCATCATGTGGTAGCAGTAGGACCAACGGAGGAGAAAACTCAGCTGTAAGCCACATCCTGCGCCTTGCGTGTCTCATCCCTTCCCGTCTAGCGCCCACCCCGTCAGGTCTGCATCTGGCTGTGTGGAGGGACTTAAACCCAGCTGGGCCACGTCCCCTCCACTGTCCTGAGAGAAAGCCACACGCCTTCAGGTTGACACTTGGCTTTCCAGTTCAGTTGCTAGGTCAGATCCAGTGCTTGTCCCGTCCCGTCCTGACCTCCTCAGGAAGGAGGGAATGAGGAGCAGTGAGTGGCCCGAACGCACCATCAAGGTTTCTGACCAAAGCAGTTAAAACTTAGCAGAGAGCCGCTGCCTGGGCCAGGTGCTGGGGACCAGGGGTGGGGGGGGCAGGAAGCCTGCTGAGAGCCGCGTTCTTCCCACTTGAGCTGGAATTTTAAGTACTCACAGAGAAGGTCGCTACTTGTAAACAGTCACGGCCTCAGCGAGACTCAGCCTGTTTTTTTAAGTTGTCGATGGACCTTTATTTTTTTTATTTATTCACCTGTGGTGCTGAGAATCCAACCCAGGGCCTCCCCCGTGCCAAGCAAGTGCACCACCATGAGCCCAGCCCCAGCCTGACCTCGGCCTTTTGTTTGGCCTTTTAGCTACCAAGACCCTCTGCCGTGCTCTGCTGTCACTGTCGCGTGCTCCCCGTGTCTTTTAATATCAGTTCTTGAATAAAGGCTTTCAAACTCGGCATCAGAAAAGGGTGACGTGCAGGTGCCACACCATCCACAGCCCAGCGTGACTCAGTTCCGGCCAGCTGGACTTCACCAGCCTCTGCCACGTTTAATCCAGACCTCATGGGCATAGGCAGAAAGCAGCATGTGTTGTGTCCCTAAGTGTCAGACATGTCAGACACGTCTCCACCGCAGGGAGAGCATGGCTGTCCCAGTGTAGAGGAGGAGGTAGACTCCAGTCAGCCCCAGCCTGTCTGCAGAGCCCCACGGGGGCCACTGAGTGGGAAGCGACTGGCCACCTACCTGAGTCACTCTGTCTAGCCCCCACCCCGTACCTGTGCCCTTCGGTTTGTGAACAGGCTCTTCCTTCCATGCCTTGCAGTGCTGGCCGAAGATGCCATCAAGGCCGCCCTGGCCGATTACAAACTGAAACAGGATCCCAAGAAAGGAGAGGCAGAGCAGTGAGCCTCGGTGCTGCTCCAGAGACGTCTACCCGCCGCCGTGCATGCACTAGAGACGTCCAGAAGCTTCCCAGGCCGCAGGAAAGCCGCACAGCATTTGCCGTTCACAGTGTGACTGAGGCAAGCAAAATACACCATTTAACTGTTCTGAGTCCTATGGTTTCTTTCAGCTCGCTCGTGTTGCCTTAGCGCTCAGTGTGTGCTTTGAACTGTGTGTGGCCGCAGGACTGAGCTCAGCAGCGCAGTCTTAGGTTCTGACACCTGTGCTGTGCATCAAGACTTAATTGTATCTAAATCTATTTTGGAGACAATTTACCCGTAGAATGTCTTGGTCTGACTGTTTGGTAGAGCCGATTGTACATAAAGCAGATCTGTAGCTATGCAGCCGTGTGTGCACTTATGTGTGTGTATATAAAACAAATAAACAATGCAGGACGATGGTTTCTGTGGCGAGCCTCGTCTCTTGGACCCTTACCCTGGGCACTGCCCACAGCCTGGACCATGAGGACGCACAGCCCTCCCACCATCGGGCAGTGACGTGGGCTGTGGCAGGTTCTCCTGCAGCCGCAGTGTTTTATGAATGGGTGAAAAGAAATGGTAGTTTTCCTTGCTCTGGGCCAGGTGATGGCTCCTGAGTCTTGGCAGTTCTCCCGTTACATGTTTCTGGTGTCTGGGAAGCAGGGCCAGGTGGGACAGCACCTGCCTGGCTTGCCAGGGCCCTGGTTCCATCGCCGGCACCACCGAAAAAGGGAAATCTGAGAAACGTTGGCTGAGGCAGCAACATTAACCTGGGGACCAAATTTGTGAAGAGCCCCTGGTGGACGAGGGGGGACAAGGCTAAGACATAGGTCTCCAGGCCAGGCTCTGTGTGGCTCTAGGCAGGGACCGTGGTGCCCCTGACTCTAGAGCCTCCGGGTAGTGGTGGCAGGCAAGTCTGGCCACAGGGAGGACCCCTCTGCCCGCTCTGTCCTGCTGGGGTGCGATGCTGAGGCGGTGTGCTCTGAGCTGTCACTGGGAGCTGCGCCTGGAAACAGTTGTCCTGGCTCAGCCTGGTACCCGGCCTTCTGGCCGCAGCCGTCCCCTGCCCGGAGCTCCCTCCATCCCGAGCTACCCAAAGTCGCGAATCCCCAAGGAGGCTCAGCTTCCAGGGAGAACTCACTGAAGGGCTTCCACAGTGAACCCCTGAAGTAGATGAGTCTGCCTTCTCCTTCAGAAACAGTCTGGCCGCCTTTAAATACAACTCCTTTGCTTAAAAAACAACAACAAAAAATATTTGAAATGCTCCAGGTTCTGGTGGAGCGCACAGAACTTCAAAGACTGCTCCCTCAAGGGTCTGAAAGAGCCCAGGCCCAGGCCTGCAAGACCCTCCCATCAGAACCCCAGTGGAGCCCTGCGGCTGCTCTGCTGTGTGACTCAGGCCCTCGCTGGCCAGCCTCACCCCTCTGTGACATGTGGTAAGGCCACAGCTCCCCATCTCTTCGTGATTGTTTTCTTTTTTTGGTCCAGGAGATAGAGCCACATCCCAGCCCTATTTTGTATTTTCTTTAGAAACAGGGTCTCACTGAGTTGTTTAGCACCTCACCGTTGCTAAGTCTGGCATTGAACTCGGAATCCTCCTGCCTCAGCCTCCTGAGCTGCTGGGATGACAGGCCTACACCACTGCACCCAGCCCATATAAGGAGTTTTAAAATGAGACATCTGTGTTCCATGTAACATCTCCAAAAAATCAGAACTGCATCTGCACATCAGAAGCAGCCCAGTCCCTACAACATGGCGGTGCTCCTCAAAGAAATGGGTGATCCCTTTAACTGGTATCACTAAAGGGCCCTTTTCCCAGACAAGTCTATTTTGAGCCACACGAGGGCATCCTGTGCCTTTCCTTGAGCTCAAGCTGGGATTCCGTAAGCACAGGGGACTGAACCCAGGAGTGCTCTACCTCTGAGCTGCATCTCCAGCCCTTTTTGAGACTGGTCTCACTGTGTGGTCCATGTTGACCTCAAACTTTCCATTCTCTTGCCTCAGCCTCCTGACTCACTGGGATTACAGGCACCTCGCCACCACACCTGGCTTCAAGTTGAGATCATAGGCACGCACCCCCCTGCAATAATGCTCTTTAACCCTCTGAGGTGGACATTCCTTCAAACAAGGACACTGTCTCAAGTGGCCAATTGGGGGAAAGTTGAAGTACAGAGGACTGAAACAGCAAATTATATTCCATGCACACGGGTGTGTCAAAAGAACCCCACTGTTACTATAATGCACTAATGAAAAAGAGAGGTCAACCAACTCTCTCAAGCAGCTGGATTGGGCTAAGTGGCCCAAAGGCCAAGCTTCTGCCCACTCCCTCCTGGCCGGACACCCAGGGCAGCTGGGGGACTCTTCTGCTCATCGACACAGTGAGCCCTGTGCTCGCTGCCTGCACCACAGCCCTCGCCCCACCCTGGCTGCGATTCAGTCATCCAGGAGCCTGACTACTATGCTCTGGAGGTGGGGCCTGGGCCCTGGCATCCCCCAGGCTCACGGGGGGCGGTAGGAAAACGGGCTCAGAGAGGCCAGATGACTTGCTCAGGACACACAGCAGGGAGGTGATGGGTGAGGGCCACTGGCAAAAGCTCTCAATCTACCTCCCACCTGCTTCAAAATACAGCACCACAGCCAGGACCCCTTCCTCTCTCCTCTAGACTCTCCTAATGGTTATTCCTGGATTTGGGTCTCTTGTAACCACATCAAAATGTACAGTTTTAGCCAGGCACGGTGGCACACGCCTGCCATCCCAGCAGCTCCGGAGCCTGAGTGAGGCAGGATCTTGCAAGTTCAAAGCCGCCTCAGCAACTTAGGCCCTAAGCAACTCAGGGAGACCCTGTCTCTAAATAAAATATAAAATAGGGCTGGGATGGGGCTCAGTGGCTGAGTGCCCCTGAGTTCAATCCCTTGTCCTGTGAAAGCCACCTGTCTCTATGGTGGGTTAAAAATCCAAGCAAACAAGGCACCACTTGTTGACCTTTTAGGCCCCTGAACTTGAAGCAAAAGCTCAGATGCTGTGTCCATCCTCACGACAGGAGAGAAGACCCCTGGCTGTGTCTTGGTGGAGTTAGGGGACCCTGCAAAGGGGCTCTAACCCCACCCAGGAGAAGGCTGTGGAGCACATCCCCCACCAGGGGCTCTGGGTGGCCTGTGCTTGCTTTCTCCACCCTCCGAGGTGACATTAGCCAACCTCTTGAAATCCATCCTCCCCCTACCAGACGACCATTTCCACAGAGAGGCAACAGCTTGGCAGTGAGTGTGGAGTACTGGACCAGAGGCCAGCTGCCACTGTGACCTTGAACCAGAGACAGCCTCCCGGTGCCCAGTAGGACTGACAGAAGTCACTCCCAGCCTGGTGGAGTCCACTATTAGATGAGATAATGCGGATACAGCACGTGCCCATCAAAAGAGTTCATTGTCCTATGGCGGCTGCCATTATCATGGGTGGCACTGCAGGCCTGCTGGGTGCTTTATATAGACCACTTCATTTCCTCTTTGCGGAAACCCTAGAGGCTACAAGTATCCCAAGAAACTCAAGTGCTGAGCACTGTGTCCAAGATCAAGGTCACACAGTCAGGAAGTGGTGGGGATGGGTTCTAGCCCAAGGCTGCAGATCCAGAGCCCACGCCCTGGACTGGGTATGTCCCTGTCATCCCTGCTGTCCCTCACTATTACTGTGAGTCCTGGAAGGAGTCCTGCCATTACAGATGGTGACTAGTAGTGACAATGACCTCCACTGTGTCCATCATCTTTATTACTATTTTTAAATACTATCACCACGAGGTTTCCAACTGTGGGTGTCGTTAGCATGGAACCAGTGTTCACAGTAAGGTCTCCAAAGTCACACAAAACCTTGGCCTGCTGCCCCCATGCAGGAGACACTCTAAGGTGACTTCTATCACTCAGAGCGTGACAAGCAAGTATCCACAGGGTGCAGTCAGGCCCCAGACCCAGGCTATCACCACCACGGCCACCACCAGCTCTCTTTGGAAATGAAGACTCTGGTCACATTTCAGCAAAACCCAACTCCCAGAAGGACCCCAAAAGGCCCCCAAGGGAGAGTAGCCCACCGCCCTGGGGCCAGGGTGCAAAGCAGGTCTGGCACCTCACCTTCCCTCCTGCCTGAGCGTCTCCAGCCAGTGGTCTAAGGAAGCCCTCTGGGGACACTGGGCTGGACCCGCCTTTGCCCAAACACAACCCGCTCTCCAGCCCCAGGTCACAGGTCCCTTCAAGTAGGACCACAGGACGTTGGGAAACAACTTGGGAAGCAGACCTGGGGCTCCAATTCTGGTCCCTGCCCTGCCGCCATCTGTCCATGCAGGCACTTAGGCAGATACGGACCTCCTGAGTCCCGGCTACCACCTCTGAAAACTCAGGGGAATACCCGCTGCCCAGTCACAGGGTTGCTGTGAGGATTCGCTGATCACCCCGGGAAGGGAGCACAGGACACACATCAGCTGTCACCACCTTGATCATCGTCACCGTCAGTGTCACCGCCATCATTGCCACAGTCATCGTCAACATGTTGCAGCTGTCATTATTGTCATCGGTCACTGTCACACACTGTGTTCCCCCAAAATCCACGCGTCAGCTCCGTAACCCACAATGCAGCCGGATTTAGAGACAGGGTCTGTGAGAGGTGAGGAAGGTGAGATGAGTTAAGAGTGACCCAGATCCAACAGGACGGCAGCGCCTCTCAGACACACTCATAGGAGGCCAAGTGGGACCACGCAGCCAGCGACACCCAGGAAAGAGCCTCATCAGAAACAGAGCCTGCAGGAACCTTGACCTTGAACTTCCAACTTCCAAAACTGTGAGAAAGTAAATCTCTATCGTGTAAGCCACACGGTCTGGGATTTTACCATGGCAGCCGAACGTGATCCAGTTACCATCATCACCAACCACTACCACCACCACCATCATTACCACCATCATCACCACCATCACCATCACCATCACCACCATCATCACCATCTCCACCATCATCACCACCATCACCATCACCACCATCACCATCACCACCATCTCCACCACCATCACCACCATCACCATCACCACCATCACCATCACCACCTCCACCACCGTCATCACCATCACCATCATCACCATCACTGTCATGATCATCATGACCGTCACAGATGGACTTCCCCAGGAGGCCACCCCTGAGATGGTCAGCAGGCAGGGCGTCCCCTGGAGAGTATGCTGGCACCCCGTCTGTGGAAGGGGCTAAAACAGCAGGGGGAGTGGCACTACAGCCTGACGAAGGTCTCAGCCGACCAGATGAGGAGCTGGAAAAATGACTCCCCTCCCTGCAGGCACCTCGTCCCTCGCCATCTGTAAAGCACACCCCCTTGGGTTCAGGACCTTATCTTCTCGCCCTTTTCCCACAGATTCGCAGCGTCCAGCAGAGGAGCCA